AATCTGTTTATAGTATTTTTTAAATTTGAAGCTATTTAACTCCAATCATGTTTAAAAATAAAATTTCACACAAAATGCATAAATTCTTCAAGATTCATAATTACAATAAAAAAGTAATACAACAATAAAATTTAAGATTACAATTACCTCTTTACTCTTAAAATTTTTAAGAGTAGTGTAGTACCCGTACATAAATGTATAATCTGTATTACTACTACACATTCTATAGAGCAAACAACAGACCAAATACTAAGAAAAATAGAAACTTTGTAACCAAAAAAAAAAGGAAAAACAGAAAATTAATATAGAGCAAAACAACAGACCAAATACTAAGAAAAATAGAACTTTGTAACCAAAAAAAAAAAGGAAAAAAGAAAATTAATTAATATATATATATATATATATATATATATATATATATATTAGAAAGATAATTTATATTAAAGAAAGATAATTCCATGGAATTTCTGAGTTTCTCCATTGCTAATTCTGGTGGATCAACATAAGAAAAACTATCCACAAGCTCTTGAAAGTCTATAGAACTATTGAAGGTACACCGAAGAATAATCTAACCGTTTTGGGTCGCAATTTAACAAAATGTGGGTCGGTAATAATCAACGGCCATAATTTGGATACATTTTTGAATCGTATGAGAGACTTTACCGGTAATTTTAACAACATCTCTACCAGTAAATTTTATATAACAACTACTATAATTATGCTTTTAAAATGAAATGTTAATTTATGGATATTAAATTAATTTCCTAAAATATGAAGTAAGAGAAAGAAGAAGAAAAAAGAGAAATTCGAAGACAATAATTTTCAGGTTAAAACATAAACATAGACAATATAAGAAACCAAACTTTTAATCCTTCCCATCACTCAAATGTTCTGATTTGAAAAATGGAAGATTTCAATAATCAACCCCTCAAATTATCCAAAAAAAATAAAAAAAAAAAACCTTCCTGGCTTGCTTTGTAAACAACACCATAAACCAAAATTATAATGAAAAAAATAAAAATTCCCTGAAGAAGTAGTAAAGATGGATGTTGCAATACCCATATATCCATAATGTCTAATCGGAGCTCCGAATTGTTATATATCATATCTATCCAAGGTTTAAGTTCACGTCATTGTTTGGAACTTGCAATTTTCATTTCTTAGTAGGTAAGGTAAGTAGTAATATGAATAACACCTTTTGATTAGATACTAGAAAGGGTGAACTTGCCGATTCTTTCACGCAAAGAGAATCATAAAGCTAAAGATTTCGTCCAAGCCTTTTCCAATTTTTAGAATTCCGCATTCTACTTTTTCATATGTATTTTGTTTTATGTGTTTTATTTTTTTATTAGATTACTTTTTCCACATTAAAAACAAATTTTATCACTTCCAACGCAATTGATTGTCTTGAAATTAAAATAAGAGCATGATCAACGCATGAAGTTAGATTTAATGGTAAGCGACTAAGACACCTGAAAATTAGATTAAGATTCGATGACGGTTTTTTAACTCTAGTGTTTTCGAATCGAAATGGACTAATTGGGTGATTGAAGGATCTATGAACAGTTAAACTGAAATAGATTTGTGTCTACTGAAATACCATGTGATTTAAAAAAAAAAAAAAAAAAAAATGTGATTAAAAAAAAAAAAAAAAAAAAGAGTATGATCAACATATATCCTCGTTTTTGTTTAGTCTAATTTTGTTTGAGTTTAGCTACTTTTTATGAAAAGAAATGGAAAAAGGAAAAAGGAAAAGAGTGATGGAGACAAGAAACTTCCTAGCAATGAGCAATGAGACGACAATTGCAGAAACAGAGAGTAGATTTGGTAGCACTAGATAAGTACAACAAGACTATGATGGTTGTTTTCTTCTATTCTAATCCCTGGACTGGACAAAGACCAGAGAGAGTGTCAAAAACTTGTCGTGTATTATGAACTGTAAAGTGATCAGATGCTGACGAAGGGCATTTAGGTCATTTTAATTATAGACAGAACTGTTCTTGTATGGTCTGGCACAACCCATGTCATTACTGAGATGGGCCCCAGGTCAGATCATTTCTACACTTTGTTTGGATGTGAGAAGAAGACGAGGGAGCAAACAGCGGAGTTATTCCACTGTTCATTTTCTTTAATTATTTTTCACTGTATATTTAGATTAGCAGCATCACTGTGCTACTGCTATGCACAATAGATACTTTATCTTTAATTTTAAAAATATTGTGATAATATTTTAAAATATATATTAAAAATATTGTGAATTAATTTTTAAAATATATAATTTAATTAAGAAAAATTTATAATTTTAAATTATTTATAATTTCATATTTAATTATTTTTTTGAAAAAATTATTTAAAATTAGAAAAACATCTATTTCAAATTCAAATATTAAACTAATTATATAAAAAAAATAATGTCTTAATAAAATTGAAAAGAAAATAAATATCATATTAAAAATCATTGATTTTTAATTTATTTTTGAATTAAATAAATTTTTCTTAGGTGATAATTAAAAATAATAAAATAAATAAAAATAAAATAGACGATGAAAATTCAATCATAGACATATATATATATCATTCTTAATAATATCATTCTTAATAATAATTTCATATAAACCGGTTTCTGATATGATATATCAAACTTTTCCTAATTTGATAGAGTAATAGAAATTAGAAGAGAAAAAAAAAATATTAATGTCAGAAAAGAAATTGTATAAGAATTATTGAAATTACAAAAAAAATGATTTTATTAAACTTCAAAGAGCTCTCTCTATTTGTAGTCTAGCAATAAGTAATTAATGACAATTCAATATATTATCATTAAAGCTAATAAGGATAACTATATATTACAATTTTATGACAAATAAACATTGAAACGTTCAGCAATTCATCGTTATTAAAATTATTAATAAATATTTTCACCGTTAACTATCTCTATCATTCTTTTAAACATAAAATTTTTATTCATAATAATAAATGATAATTATAATTGATTATAATGATATTCAATATCAATATTATGATAATATTAATTTAAAAGATTTAAAAGAGGGAAATTATAATACATATTCATTATTAATAAATCAACATCAAAATTATGATCCATTTTTAATTTAAAAAATAGGTATATATTTAATAATTTCAATATTTAATATAAATTAATATGATAATATTGAATCAATATTATGTAATTTTAATTAGAAAAATAAGTTACAATATTATAATAATTATAATTATTAACTAATATGTATAATTATGATAATTGAATGATAATTAATGTCAATGTTCATATAACACTATAACTAATAATTAAATTCTATGTAGCACTATCAAAATTTAAGAGTCATATGTGTCATTATAGTCCTAAGTGTCATTATAATCTTATGTGTCATTACCAAGAATCTTATGTGGCAAGAATAAGAGAAGAACATTAATTTATGAAATGTCACATGTCAACTTCTAGGAAAAAAATGCTTGCTATATATATATATTATAGTATTATATATATATATTGAATTAGAAAAATAAAATATTTATTTAAAAAAGGTTTAATAAAATATTATAAAAAAGGTTTTAAATTAAACAAAATGGAGTTATTATTAATTTTCAATTTATTCTTTATAAATATATAAATATTATTTTCAAAGTTCAACCTCTCTATGATAAAATAACGTATGAAACATCGAATTGAAACTTTGAATTCCAAAAATCAACTTTCATATTGATTCATTGAATCATAATTTAAACAAAATATTCACCATTGAATCGATTCAAATGATACTTTAACAGAAAGCAAATAAATATAAAGTAATTATATATTTATATTTCTATCTATATATTCACGAGTCATGCACTAACTAATTTTTAATTAATTCTTGTAAAATACCGTGGTACAATTGTCCGTCTCGGTAAAGAATTGAAATTATGACAATGGTGATTTAGATAGTCATAACCACCATTTAAAATTGCTAATTTCAATTTTAAAATCACGAATTTTAGTTTAAAAAATAAATTTGAAATAAAACGGTTTTAAAATTATCGATTTCAGTTTGAAATTAAAATTAAGAGTTAAAAAGGGTACAATAATATATATTTTTTTTTAATTTCAAAAAGTAGTCCTCATGTTGTTTTTTTACTAGGGAGAAAAATGTCTTTTTATTTTATTTGAGTTTTAAAAATAAATTTTAAATAAATATTATATAATTTATATGTAAAAAAATATATATTATATAGTGAAAAGGATCTAAATTAAAAATATATGTTTAAAAGATAAGCTTTTTTTATTTTTTCATGGAAAAATACTTGCAATTTACAAATTATATTTATATTAATAAATTTTAAGATGATATGGTACAATTACCACTTTTAATGGTGAATATTAAAATTAATTTTAACTTTCATGTGTGATATTTTCTTTTCTTTTTTCCTTTTTATTTTAAACCGAAACTATCTGTTTCAAATAAAAACTATTGGTTCCAATTTTTAAATATAAAGAAAAGTAACCGAACTTTAAATATCTAATTTCGAATACACTTTGAAATCTTGAACAATTGAATATGGTTTGAATCCAATTTTGACCGGTTCAATTCTGATTTAATTCTGATTTTGATTTAATCCAATGTCATGTTTAGATTAATAAAAATATGAAATTCATGAAATTGAACTCTATAAATTGTAATTTCACATTCTATGGTGTCTCAAAAATAGTAAAATTAAAATCATAATAAATTTATCAATTCCACTAAGTAGAATTCATTATTTATTAATCAAACCAAGTAGAAGAATATAATAAATTTAAAAAATATTTAAATTTCATAATTAAAATGTATCCAAAATATTTTTCATTTTTGTGATAATAATTTTGAAATATTTTGGATGATTGTGACAAAAGGACATAATTTACTAACCATCGCCGACTTCGTTGGCCGACTTCATTGGACGAATCAGGAGAAGGAAAAAGGCAACAACGGCCACCATTTACCCTTTTGAGGTCAGCTCTTGTCAATAATTTAGAAGAATGCCACTGTGCGCTACTGTCCCCACGTGCGCACTTTAGCACGACAAACCAATCCTTGGTCCCCGTACTCAGTCTCAGATCACACCGCGTCAATAGCTCGCGTTTTTAAATACTTCGCTTCTCCCCCATTTTTAAGATTTCTTTCTTCTCTGTCTAGTCCCTCAAATTCCTAATTTTCAGCCCATTTAAATAAATAAATTGTATATGTGCAGAACCAAAATGGCTGTCAACGCGTCAGCCCCTGACCCAGTCCGACCCGCCAGAACTCGCCCCAGTCAGTCTCCGCGCACTCCATCAACGCCGAGATTACCAACTTTCCCCACCAGCTCCACCTCCTCCTCCTCCTCCAGCGCCGCTTTAGGTCCCTCAACCTCCAATACGTCCAGTGCGCATTACACATCTACTTCATCGTCAGCGTACAGTCGAACCTCCCTCTCTAGTCTCCGTGAATCGATTTCTAAGAGCCCTAACATCTATGACATATCTGAAATTCGGGCCGCCACCAATAACTTCCTCGCCAAACGCTACTCCACTTCCTCCACTGCATGCTGGCGCTGCAATCTTCGGAACACCGAGACAATCGTCTTCCAGCGCAAGTTTCGCCGGAAAATGGAAATGCCACAACTCAGAGAACGCCTTGCAGTTATTTGCCGGAGCAACCATACAAGCGTAATCAAGTTGTTAGGCGTTTCGATATCAGGAGACCATATTTACCTCGTCTACGAGTTCATCACCGGCGCTAATCTCGCCGATTGTTTAAGAAACGCTAGGAATCCGAATTTCACGGTCCTCTCCTCTTGGAATTCGCGAATGCAGGTCGCCGCCGATCTAGCTGACGGACTTGATTATATCCATCACAAGACAGGCTTAAACATAACCCTAGTACATAACCATATCAAAAGCAGTGGAATTATCATTACAGAGCCACATTTCAATGCCAAAATCTGTCATTTTGGTACTGCACAATTGTGCGGAGAAGCATATGAGACCGAGAATCGAGAAAAGAAGAGCATAAACGAAATTGAAGAAGAAGAAGATAGATCGAAGGAGTTAAAGAGATCTAACAGTGGAGTTATGCAATTCGAAGGAGTGAGAGGCTACATGTCGCCGGAATTTCAAGCTAGTGGAATCGCGACGCAAGAATCCGATGTGTACGCTTTCGGTATAGTGATATTAGAGTTATTATCCGGTGAGGAGCCACTGAAATACAAGTACGATAAGAGTAGAGGTGATTTTATACGAACTTCATTGATAGATAGAGCGGTGGCGGTGATCGACGGGGGCGATGGTGGTGGTGAAGGAAGAGAAGGGAGAATAAGGAGGTGGATTGATAGGAGGCTGAAGGATTCGTTTCCAGTTGACGTGGCGCAGAAACTGACACGCCTGGCAATACAGTGTACACACGTGGATCCAGCTAAACGGCCGGATATGGGACGCGTGGCAGGGAAGATTTCTAAATTGTATTTGGCTTCAAAAACTTGGTCTGAAAGTATAAAAACTGTATCCGACCAGATTTCGGTGTCATTGGCACCTAGATGAATTAGGTGGCTTTAATTTTTTATTATTTGTTTTTTAAAAATTTTAATTAAGATATGTTTATGATTGTGACACAAGTGAATATCTTAAGAAAAGAATATTAAACTTAAAATTGTAATGAGGATTAGATGCTAAACCCAAATTAAAAAGATTAACGTAACGAGGAGACTGAGAAGACAGGAGTGGAATAAATTGACTAATCTAAAAATAGTTCGTCTCTTTGTACAGATTAAAAAATGGAATTAAGGGTGGATTAAGTGTTGTATAATATTCTATATTTGTTGTTGGATATGGATGTATTCCTTAAGGTATGAAATGCATCGTAAGCTTATATTTATTATAATAGTGCCGGATAGGCTTGGGGGTTGACGTGCAAATTATTTGTAGTCAATTTGAATTTCTGTTATAAATTTAATTATGAATTTATTTAAAAAATTAAAATACAAAAGAAAACGGTGATACACCGTCCAACTCTTAAAATTATTTTAGTTGGAGTCAGTTTCATAGATACAGAGTTGTCTACAGATGCATCATCACATGTATAACCCACCTATATATTAAACAAGGCCGAAACTTTATCATTTCTGATTAAAAAAATTTAATAATGTTTGTTATATATAAAATGTGAATTTTAATTATTTATTGAAGATTTTATTAACAAATAATTGTTAAAAAGAAACATTTATTTATAAAAATAATAAATAAAGATTCATGTCTCATATAAATTACTTAAATTATAAGCGAGTTAATCTTTTAATGAACGAAATTTTACTTAACTCATCAATTAATTTATCACACAAGTCAAAAAAAAAAAAAACCCTTTCTTTAAATTAAAGGTAAATTCTCATTAAATTAATTTTGACTAGCTTTGAATAGCTATTAAAAAGTGCGATTCTATTGGTCTTCTCGTTTAACATGAAAAGTGAAAAATCAAAAAATTTAAAGTTGACATCCTCTTGGCGTGAAATCCTTTTGACTGCAAAAATGTTTCTCCAATTTTAAAAAAGAGTCTACAACTATTATACAATTCATAATATTATTTCTATTCATCACATCTCTTAATAAAAAAAAATAATTTCGAAGTGCTCACCAATAACACAGCTCATTTATAGCCCTAATTGAGTCTAACTCAAACGAGGCAGGCAACCTACAAAAGTCAACTTCGAAAAGGTAAGAGAAGGACATCTCTTTAAAGGTCAAAATAATACCCCAGGAGCAGGAGAGCAGTTGAAAACTGCAGGGGCCCATTATATTTTAGTAAACACGATGGAGGGTGGGACACAAGGATAACAAAGTTCGAAATTAAAACTGCACGTACATAACAAATTTCTAATTTACTTTAAGAGTAACAGTTTACTTTTTTTCACAAAAATTAAGAAAAAAATCAAAATTTATTGATTTCTAAAAAATAATAAAATATCTAAATTACCCTCCTAAGTAAATTTAAACATAAATATGAAAATAAATAACGCCTAATAAAAACGGCTAAAATTGAAAGGAAAAAAAAAAAAATCAATCTTGCCTCAAAATTCTAAATGAACATTTAAAATGGAATAAAGTGAAATGTCTATTTATTACTATTAAATTGAAACGATGATGCTTAAAAATACTCACACAATAATCATGCTAAAAAAATTTTCTGTTTACCCAAAAGGTTTGGAGTTAAAAATCACACTTAGCTGTCTAAGGAAGAGGTATATATATGAACATGTCATTAACTATGGCATAGCATATTCAGAGGCTAATATTTCACGACAAGAAAAGAAAAGCCACTATCTATAGACATTCCTTTTTAACCTACTGGGGTATTACCTATGATGCATTTGAATAGAAGGGAGAACAATCTATTTGAAGATGAAAGGCATTCTTAAAATAGCCTTTTCTTCTCTTTTTTTTTTTTCACTCTTTCTTCTTACTGGCTCAACTTCTAACTAAAGCTTTCTATAACTATCCAGCTTTCCACTTGTACCAAATTTCCAGTGGTTTCTAGCTTTAATAGTTACTAACTCACAACAGCAATTGTTAACAGTATAAAGGAATTTGGAATTAACAGTAGTAGCTGGGAGTCGATGAGGCTAAACTAGTGCATGAGACTTTGGACTTGCTTTTCCTTGGATATGAATAGATAACAGCCAGCTCCCTAACCTGACGCCAAACCGAATCTGGCAGTTGATGTGATGCATGTGTTTGCTCTTGCTCTACCTGCAAAAATAATTATCATCCATAATTCGGTTTATAAGACAAGAACAGTTAAACATGACCAAAAAGTTTGAACCAGTGAGATGGAATTGTGCTTATGAAGCCAATAAAGATAAAATCACTCAGACACGGACCTTTCTCCTTTTTTGTGTCTCGTTGCTGCTAGCCTTTAAAAGATTTCGCCATTTGTCCTGCAACACAAGTATTACAAAGAGTATCAGAAAAAAAAAATGTGAAAAATGCAAGATAAACCATTCATGAACTACCTTGAGATTTACAGATGTGCGATGAGAAGATGATGAAAATAATGACTTCTTTATGTGAGTCCATTTTCCGACTCCGAACTTAGAAACACCCTCAATTAATTTCATCACCTCACAAGTTGTCCACCTCTGGTGACGCTGTCTTTTCTTTCTAAGCCCCCTTCTCCTTTTCACACATTCACTTTTTGAAATGTTATCCTGTGAGTCAGCTGAAGAAGTTTCCTTATCAAAATCTTCATTGGAAACTGAAACCTCCTCGTCGTTGCAATTGTCAAAATCATCAACCTAAACAGAAGCCAAAAACTTTATGCAGTAGAAGCAGTTTGATCATAATATTTTCATAAACAATTGAAAACCAAATCATTACTGCATAAATGCACAGAAGAAATATGTGTATATTCAATCTCCAGATTTGCATAAGAACTATATGGGAGACATCTTCAGGTAAATGGCAGATTAGGAAAGCAACAAAATCATACACTAAAAGAGCAAAACACAACATGGTTCACAGAAAGAACCTCAATAACTGAACATCGCAAATTTCACGCTACCCCATTTATTAGTGTTACTTACCAAAGATGTGCTTTTTGTCAAGTGTCCTATCTGGACTGAAAGTTCGAGTGGAACCTGAACAGAAGATCCTCTCAGACATTCTTCTTGACAAATCATTTGTGAAGTTCCTGATCCCTTTTCATGATGCTGCTTGTGAGATCTAACATGAAGGAATTCATCTCTTCGATTCTTATAGAATGCCCCAATATTTAGGTGCTGATATCTTGAGTCTTGCTGTTCCAGTCTTTTGGTGCATGTCCTAGTAGGCCTATGCGTTTGCTGCCGTGTAACAATCACATCTACAGGATTACTTTCACCTAAGGAACAAAATCCAACATCTCTAACTGGAGAAGACATACTCTCCAAAGAGTTGCAACCAGTAAGCTTCTCCCTTTTCACATGCTTTTCTGCTGACATGAGTTGGGCACCCAATATTTCTGTAGAGTCAGGAGCAATTCCAGACAATGCTGTACATGTTAAGTGGACAGCTTTTCCTTCATTGACCTTGGAAGTTGTACCACATTCCAAATGGTCCAAACCATCTATTAACTCACCTTGGTTCTGTAAACCAAACACAATACAGTGTTTAAGCCATTGCTTGTCCATAACTAAGGTTTCACACCCGAATATTCTGCTGAAAACCTGACAAAGATCTTGGGTGGTCATCTTTTCAAGCGAAAAAGGATCCTTGTCATATGTAGATTCAAGTAGCATTACCCTTGAAGAAGATAAATCAGACATTTCAGCATGACAATCTCTTTCTTTGAAATGCGGGGAGTTGCTTTCTAAATCCACACCACCTAGACAGGATTTTTCCCATGAACTGTAATTCAAATTTGGAACTTCATCAACTGGTTCAGTATCTAGACATGGGAGAACAGAAGTTTTAGAAGGTAATAATAAGAGAAGCATTAACATAATCCATCAAACAAGGTCAGAGAATTCTATAAGGAATTACTCAATATAGTTTCCTCGCATGTGGAATGAAGGCTGAAGTCTCCAATAACGGTCTTCTCATTAGTGACTAGCATTCTCTTGCTATTCCCCTACAAATACAGAAACTAATTTCAGATAGCACTTCATTTTTTTGAGACAATGATTTTGTGAAACTGATATTTCTTCCTCAAGAAGACTAAAGATTGAATCAGCATATACATGAATGAAGAAAAATAATAATAATAATAATTGACAAGTACAATAATATAATTCAACCAGAAATTGGTACAATATTGAAATCTATCAAAACGTAAAATGAGAAAAGGAAAATTCTTATATTTTGTACTGGACCTAAAATTAGCATTTGGGAATTCTGAAGAACAAAATGCCTTTTCTTGGGCTAAGAAAGAAAAGCCCAATTGACAGACAAAATCAGCCTTCATTTATGAACATTCCAGCAAGTGCAATTTATGATATGAGACCAATTATATATTCAATACTCTCAAAACATGCTTCTACCTTTGTTTCCTCTCCTTCTTGTGCAAAATACAATTCCAGCGCATCTGGGTAAAGAAAAGACAAAAGTATCCAGTAATTTGGAAAAAAAATAAACAGGTGGATAACAAAACAAATGGAGGAAACATGACATCTAAGAAACTATATATATATATAAACTCAACTCTAATCCAGTTTTTGGTACCTTGATTATGCAAATTACAAGACAAAAATTAGACTTCCTAAAAACATTGGCTAAGTACTTTGTAAGAGAAACATGACCAGCCATGCAAAAATCTGAGACTATCAATGGAAAAAACAAAAATGTTCACATATGCAACAAAATTTTATCCACAAGCTTCATATACTTTCTCAGATTCCATGAGCCAGCAGCTGATGTCCTAGCCACACAAGAAGCAGTTGCTTTACAAATTGAAGAATACATACAAACATAGATATACAGAAAAACTCAAATGCAATACGAAAATGAAATTCATTTACTCCTAAGAATTGACTATTTCCATTTGTAGGGATGGACTCCCACATGGAAGCAGAGATTCCTATGTGGAACTAGTTGTTCCATTAAAATTTAGCAAAATATCATCACGAAGAATATCATACTATCCTTGTTCTGCCACATTGTCATTATTCTTCATTATTACTATTACTTATTGCACACTAGTATTCTTGGCTATAATCCATGTATTTAGAAACAACAATCAACACAAACTAAGCTCAGAGAATGATGTTAAGCAGAATTGTAGAAGTATTCACAAGATTTTTGAAAAATGAAATTGGCTTAGGAACTGGAAATATTAATACAAAGGAAAAGGTTCCTGAATCCCAACAGGAAAAGGTTCCATTGAATTCATTTTGACAATCACAAAAAGTGTTCTACTTATGCTAAAACCCCTTCTCTTCAAAGGTGACCTTTAAAAGCACAAGGACTTTCAATATAAGTCAAACTGTATTGATACAAGCATCAACATGTATAGTTTAATATTTGAACGCTCTGTCGTGAGAGGAATTGCATCTTGACTGTTAAAAAGGATGAGCAATGTTGTTCTTTTCCTCCAAATTCACATTCGTCAAGGTGCAACAAGGGCTTGAACACCTAATAGTCTTCCACAACTGTATGTTTAGTAAGATAAAGAATCTTAACAGCACGTTAAGATTTTTGCCTATGAGCTACAATGGTATTGAACTTTGGCATCCACCATCAATGGATGAGATGCTTAATTTGGATTAATGAACAATTTCATCAATACAAAAGAACTATGTCAACATCAACGCACACACAGCTGCCAAAACACAAATATACAATTTTTAGAGAGAGAAGAAAATAAGCATGCATATAACTATAAGTTAACAAGATAATTACCGCCATCAAACTTTATCTGATCATACTTGAATGCACATGAAAAACTTCCAATATTGAAGCCTTTTAGTGAATTGAATGTTTCAAAATCAACGGTACCATCCAAACAGTCCATGCTACATTCAGGTAAATAATGTTGCAATCTTGTAACTTCATCTTCAAAGGCAGACAAATAAGATAAATCTTGGTCAACCTAGACAAAAAGATGAGAGACTACATAAAAAAACAAGCTAGTGCTATCATTACTTCCTGGTTTTCAGAAGATAATAAAAGAATAGAAAAGATCTTTTTGACATGCACTGTACGAAGAAGATAAGCGACATAGTGAGTTCTATCAACTTGTTAGGGGTTCAAACTTTTGTATTCAAAACATTGCTGACTTTGTCCAGCACCTTGGATCAATTTTCAAGATTTAAATCACCTTATCATTATTGACAGTGAATGGTGCACTTTCAAATAATGCCAATACTTTTACAAACTTGGCAACACTATTTCCAAAATGTATATTGTAATAGATTTTAAATTAGAATTAGAAGCTTCACAATAAAAACATGAAGCAAAATATAAAGAATTTTATTTAGGGATTACTGCCTTCCAAACAATATTAATCCTGTCTTGGCACAAGGCACCTTGTCAAGGAATCATAACCACCTAGAGCTCTTAAGCCCGCATCAATGAATTCCCAATTTCACTCACAGAAAATGTACCAGGGACAGGGTAACTATTTCTTTTCTTCTCATAAATAATAATTGAAGAAACTATATTTCCACACCTGAATTTCACCCATAATTACAGGTCAGGTCTGTATTTTTTGAAAATTACAATTCCATTGTACATTTTGAATCTATCATAACAATTAAGTTCATGAATTGAAATTTCATATTAGTCAAAAAATGCCTTTATAATAAATCCCATCATAGCACCATTTTATTTAAGTGAACTAAAAAAAAAAAAAAAAAGCCTAAAACAATAAAATTCAAGGAATCTCTAATAATTAATATAGCCTATAAGAATGTAAAAGTTACAAGACAGAAACTACTTAAATCATACTAACCACACAAGAGAAAAATATTTTAAAAACACATATTAAATCAATATTCTTAAGAAAAAGAGCACAATCATGAACATTGAAATAGCATAGAGTGACAGAGTCATGCAAATACCTTTAGCTACAATGAAATTGCCATTAAATCACTATCTCACGGACAAGACGCGTAATTTTAAGGAAGGTATTGTTTGTTAAAACTAAAATTTACACACTGAAAATTAAAAAGCTTAATTTTAAGTGTTGAATAATATGTGTTAAATTTTTGAATTGAGAATGTTTTTTAAGTCTAGTAATTTCTTGTATTCAGCATAAATTTTAAGTAATTATCATTTTAAGTAAACTTTAGCCTGATTGAGACTTTCAGCAACATGCAGATAAGTTATTAGTAAACCTGAAAGATGAGAATACAATTTACTTTATAATAATATTATATATCACAAAAGTGTTTACTTCCCTCTAGCATATGTACCTCGGAATGGCTATATAAGAACATGTTTGGACTCTCATCCACCGGAGCAATTTTTGTTTCTGGGTCCATCAATTTGAATCAGCACTGAACTCACCTATTTCCATATTATAAACATGCAAATACGGGGCATAAATTTGCAACTTCACTCTATAGTCATAAAAGTTAAAATCCATAAAGATACTAACAACTTGAGATGCATTGTACAATTGATATGAGTAATTATATAAACAGTAAGTGGGAAACATAGAACTAAAAAATAAACTGCCAGGGAATTCAATGGGCACTATGATTAGCTAACTTTTTTGTGCGTGCTTTTTATTGCTGTAAAATTCAATGGAAAAGAAGACTAAAGTACAAAAGGATAATGAAGGAAGTAAGATAGCCCCCAAAAACAAAGCTTAAAAAGAATTTAAAAAGGTTATTTATGATAAAGAAAAAAAAAAGTGCGAAACTTTTACAATCTCCTGCATTGAAATTAAGAGCTGTGCAGATTAAAAGTTCTTGAAATTTTGTTTGCTAATAATCAGGTAACAACAGCAGATATTCTGTTTGGAGGGCAAAACCATTTCGTACACAACCATTTATTTTAAAATGTTAATAACTTAGAGACAAATTTCTCTCTTTCCTAAAAATATTACTCAAGTAGGCGAAATACCCATATAAAAACAATAAATTCGAAATTTCACATGCATTCAGCTAATGAGCATAATTTAATAAAAACCCAACACGGTGAATTCCTTATTTCCCACAAAACAACTCTGTTTTGACATTTTATTACTTCTTTTTTTTTTTTTTCCAGATTTCAATTTCTATTTTTAACTTAGAACCCATTATACACAATGTAAAATACAATTAACCCATTTAAAATTCCAGAAAAAGATGCAATACTAGTATTCATTCCTCTCACTGTTTTGCATGTTCATAGCAGCCAAAAACCCGTCTAATAATGGGCATAGCATGCACAAAGATAAAGCTAAACACATTTTATAGTCATCAAACAAATTTACAAAAAAAAACTCAAGAAAAAAAAATCAAGAAACTATCAATTATTTGGCAAAAAACAGAACCAATAATCGTTTCTTCAAAAAAAAATATGGTATATAGAAAAAACAATTAAAAATTTCTGGAGTTCTTGAAATTATATAAAAAAAGGCCACAATTGGAGAATGAAATACCTTATAAAGAGATTCAAAGAGACGAAAATGAGCTGAAAGTGCTGAAATGAACAACGGAAAATGGTAGCAGAGGGAAAAGAATAGAGGGAAAGTGAAGAGAAAGGAGTTTAATGTAACGGTTTTGCTTAAGACTAGTAGTAGTGAGACTGTTACAGAGAGTGGAAAAAAATTAATTAATTAATCAATTAATGGTAACTTATTTTGTGGGCGGACGTGAGAAGGAATATAGAAAGGTAGATTTGAATGGGGAGTTTGAGGTCCGTTACGCATGACATGTGATGCGTGTGTTTGTGGGCACCTGATGATTCATCACTTTCACTGGGCAATCACTTCCTTGTTTGGATTGTATAGTTTTGTCTTTGTTCGCCGCCGTCCAAATCAGTGACGGCGTTAACAACTGTTTCTCTCTCTCTGTCTCTGCATCACAATTCACAACTGCAATTGGAATTTGGAATTTTTACATTTTTGTCCCTCTTCCTTCAATTCTCTTTTTCATTTCATTTTTGTTCATCTTACATTTTTGAATTTAGCGTTAAAAATTTTTCATTTCATTTTTGTCCATCTTACATTTTTTAATTTACCGTTAACAAATTATTTTATTTTTAATCATTTTAAAAAATTTCAGGAATTAAATTAACTAAAAATGTCAAATATGATATTTTTAATCTCGTTAAACAAGTGCAAAAGCTAAATTAGTTCTTATTTCCATAAAAATTATGTTTCAATCATTAAATATCGAGTTTGCTAGTTATTATTATAATTTTAAACTATTTTATTTTTATTTTTGATTTATTAAAACTCAATAATCATCTTTAATGATTGGACATAATTTTATACTACTTTCATTGCTAAACATTTATCGCATTTAATAAAGGATCGTGTTTTAAAATATTTATTATATTTATGATTTTAATGAGTAATAAATTTTTTTCTAAATTTACCCTTTATATATGTCAATAGTTTAGTATTTAAATATATTAAATTAAAGATAATATAATTAATTTATTTAATAATTTATTATAATTTAAATAAATTTAATTATTTTCTTACACAACGTTAAAATTTGACGTGTGATAAGTAATTGGAACGGACTAGTGCATGAATAATACAAAGCTACATAAATTATTTTGGGCCCTAAACAGAAGATATAGAAGTCCCATGATACAGCAAAGCTATCAATTTTAGTATTCACAAATCATCAATCTGTCAAATCTAAAATCAAATTGACAATGACAAATTGTATTAATCAATCAAATTAATAAATTTCCTGTCAACTCAGTCAATTTATAACTCAATTGGTACGGACAAGTTGCTTTCAGACAGCTGAATATGATGTAGGAACAAACCAAAACTATGTGGAATCAAATTATATTTCACATGCATTGCTTGTAACTGGATATTGTCATCAGTTCATGTAGTCTGCTTCTGCAATTTATCTTTTTAATTTTTTAAAAGGTTAATCAAAATTTTAGTATCGTTTTTTATTAGAAATGAGAGACTTTAACCTAAAAGACTCAGCCCCCAGGAGGACAAATAACATTCCCCATATCAGCATCTAGCAATTCTCCAACTCGAGGAGAAGAGAATCTATAATCCTCAAGCCTCGGGGTTTCATAATTGCATCTTTGGTAATTATTTACTTTCTGAATTTTTTTATTTTAATTTTTAAAGGAAATCTTAACAATGAATATTTAGTTTGAAAATTTGGAATAACGTTAAATTTGCACATTAAACTTTTAGGTGATATACAATTTATCTAAAATTGAATTTTGGATTGATTTTAATAGAAATTTTCAATTTTGGTCATGGATCGTGAGATAAATAATAAAAAATACTAATGATTGTAGTTTTTCTTTTTATACTTGCACGAGATATCTAGATCCGTGTCTATTTTAACAGTCTACAAACCTTATTAATTTCCGCTCGTCTTTGGAGACAAATAATAAAAAATAGCAATGGTTGTTTTTTAATTGAATAATTTTTTTAATGAAATATAATTGAGTGGCTGCAAATTAATGAGAGGATTCAACAAAAATAACAATTCCTTTATAGTCACTCACAAAATATATTTACATTGAAATAGACATAGAAATTTGGAAAAAGAATACAGGAAAAAGAGTTAAAATGTTGGAGAAAATTTATTAGTTGAAACAATATGATTCTTTTCTCGTTTCCCTCTCCTTATTCAATATGAAAAAAGAAATAACTTTAGAAATGAATTAATTAGGTCAGGAAAAGTCTATATAGCCAAAAGATACTGAAACTCAAAGTCATAAGGTATCTTCTCAACAGAAATGGCCGTAATTTTACCACTGGTGCTGTTATGGCTTCTGAAACAATCCACTATTGACTTCCTCAAAGACCCAGAAGTTGGCAATTGGTGGCAAACCCATTCTACTAATGAGTTTGTGTCTATGGCAAAATCAAACATGTTGTTAAGCAAAAGTTCTGGAAATGCAATTCTTTTTGTACTTGTCACCATTATTGCAGCTTGTAAATACTCTAATTTGGATTTCTCCAGTTCAGCTATAATACCATCTGCTGTGTATACTCTCACCTGCACAATTCAAATCCATTAACTTTTCCTGAGAATTAATCATTGAAACTTCTCAGAGGATTTTCATTGAAACTTCTGCCAGGATTTTCATTGAAACTTGTGCTGACTTTGGGTTTAGTTTCACTCGGTTTTGGTAAGTTTTTTCCCTTGTTGTTGTTAATTTCTAATAGAACTGATTTGATTGCTGACAAAAAAAAAATAGAAAACTTACAGCAGGAGAAGAACGGGTTCCGCAGCAAAGAGCGAAGGTGAGATTAGGATCCATAGATTCGAGTCCATAAAGTTTGCGAACAGTGGCTTCTTTATCATCTTTTTCATTCTTTGTTTGAATCTATACAGTAAGTTAATGGTGTCAGTTGAATAAAAATACATGCTTGTAGTAGTTTACAACATTAACAGGTAATTAATAATTATTAAATCACCTTGTTGGAAGATGTTGGCTTCCTCAGAATGTATTGCTCTATTGCCTGAGCATTTATTGTGTTTCCACCAATATCTAGAGTTGCCTGAAATAAAGCAATTCATATATATATATATATAGGTTAAAATATTGTAATTGTTGAAATTTCTCCTTAGCATTTTTAAGATCGTCCATTTTTTCAAAAGTTTGAGATGCACCTTGTTCATTAATGTCAACAGTTTTTCTGTAGAAGAAGGCACTCCATATTGGAGAAATCCCTGAAATATGTTACAATATATGTGAGATTATAAGTAGCACATCAGGATTAGCCAATATTATCTCTATGGCATATAACAAAAGAAAAATAAGAATAAAATTTTCAAAATATACATGCATGATACAAGCATTGTACATGTTGATCCAGAAAGCTAGTTTCTGTTGGTATGTCAAGAATCTCAAGTCCACAGTCTGCAGATTGTCCATTAAGACCCTGCACTCCACAAAAATCTTTTGTTAGTGCTTTAATTATGTCACTGAAATTAAATTAGCTGTGAAATTATTGGATATTTCCTTATAATTATTAAATGATGTTCAGCTCAAGTACTCATAGAGCCTTACCAATCTTTTATATACTTATATATAATATTTATTTTAGGATACTCAAGCCTCAAGTCGAGCCAAAAATTTTTAGGCTCGTTGAGTTTCGAGCTGAGTTTCAAACCTGACAGATTCATGCTCGGACTTGGCGCATTCAATTAATATGTGTTAAGTGTGCAATTTTTGAAAGATACCTTAACCTTCTTAGCAAAGGAATAGAACTGGAACTTGAAATGCATTTTGGGTCCATGGAGCTTGATGTGAAAATAACCAAGTTCTTGTAAGGACCAATATCTCTTGGAATTGACTCTTCCACATTGAAAATGCCATATGGGTCTTGTTGTCTTGATTCCTTTTGTAATAAAAGGTTTGTCTTGGAGTTCGAGGTGGTGTCTGTCCTGAAACTTCTTGAAATTAAAGAATTCTGCAAAGATCTAGAAATTGGGCCTGACTTTTCTAACTCCATAGCTCTTGATGTTCTTAGCAACCTAATATATATGAAGTTCAAACACTTGATTATGTTTTCTGATAGTTTGTTGGGCTGACATTGCTGAATGTTGCTGCTCTCTTCTGATAGAATTGCATTAGATAGTGATTTTGGTAAGTGGTCCAATGAGAATTCCACATGTCGCTCCCTTTGCTAAAGCCCAAGAAACCAAAAATATATATAATAATTTAGAATCACTAAATGGTTTACCATAAAGATAAATGAAAATGGAAGTGTAAATAATAATATAATGCTTAAATTTGACCGGCGATTTTTTTTGTAGCGCTCTGAATTTTGTAGGAGACCTATTATAACCTTGAAGTTTCATATTTTAATAATAAATATGTCTCTCGACCAAAATAAAATGTGAAAGTGCAAGATAATGATTAAATTCCAATAAAATTATTTCATTTTGGCGATAGACATAATTAATATTGAAATATGAAAATACAGGATTATAATTGAACTCCTCAAAATTTAAGGGATCACAAAGATAATCCAACAAAATTCCGAGTCAAAATTAATAGGAAAAATTTGAGGCGTACCTTAGGTGATGGATGTCGAGGGTCTCGCAAAGGAGAAGGAGACTTGAGCAATCCACTTTTTCTTGGCACTCTATCTTGAAATTTGGATTCCTCGTAGAAATTATTTTCTTTCTGGTCAGGAAATATTCTTGAGCTTCCCATCTTCTCATTGAAAGTGAAGTCATTAAGATTATAATCACCTTTAATTGCTTTACTTATGAAATGCAATGCCTTGGTCTCAAATGCCATTTTCTCTTGATGAACACCAACACCACCGCTATGTAAAGGGCTAGGCATCCATAAATGACTTTGAAAGTTGCTTATATAATTACTTCCAGCTTGCTGCCATTGTTGTGGTTTTGTCTCTTTAGTAATTTCTTGTTCACGTTTTAACCCTAATTGAAGTTGGCTGATTTGGGATTCTAATCGAATTATTTCACTTTCAACCATGGCTAATTCTGCTAAAAGCTCCTTTGCCTGTATATATAAACACAAATTTTTCAGTAACAACAGTCTTTGAACATATATATAGTTTTTTTTTCTTTTTCAAATCGAAATTTATACTGAGTTACATTCGAAAATAATAATAAAAAAGAACGTAGAACTTATAATTAAATAGGTTGTGGAACTAGTACAAATCAATATGTATAGGTGATTCTAATATATTCATTCACTCAGTTATAACTTATAAGATATATCATATTTAAAACAAAAATTTAGACGGAAATTATAAGTAAAAAAAAAAAAAACAATATACTCATATTTTTTTTCCTCTTTTTTTTTATAAAAAAATGTTAAAATTTAAAAGGTTTTATTTTCAACAATTTTGTGCTTTTTGCACATGAATAAAATGAGGAAGAGGAGAAAGATAATACCTTGGGAGGAAGGAAGTTAGGGATAGAGATCCCAGAGTTATGGTTACTCTTATTTTGCAAATGCTCCAAAATTTCATGGACCTTCTCTTCTTGTTTCAACATTTTCTGAAGGGCGGATACCTATTTTTATATATTTATATATAGGGCATGAAATATGTTAGAAATATAAACTATTTTTAGCTATAGAGTGAGTTTTTCTAACAAAAAAAAAAAAAAAAAAAAAAAAAAAACAGATTAAATCCAAACAAAAATTCCGAGTCAAAATTAATAGGAAAAATTTGAGGCGTCACCTTAAGGTGATGGGATGTCGAGGGTCTCGCAAAGAGAAGGAGACCTTGAGCAATCCAACTTTTTTCTTGGCACTTCATTTATGCTTGAAAAATTTCTGGCATTCCTCAGTAGAAAAATCTTATTTTACTTTCTGGTCAGAGATATATTAGTAATTCTTGTGGAGGCTTCCCATAACTTTCTCATATCGAAAGTGAAGTCATTAAAGATCATATAATATCACCTTTAATTATGACTTTAGCTATGAAATAGCATATATATATAAATCATTGGTACTCAAATGCCATATTTCTCATTGATGAAACCCCAAATACTCACCGACTATGTAAAGAGGAAGCTAAGGCATCACCATCTAAATGACCTTAAGTGACAAAGTGACTGGTATATAACTATTACTTCACCCATGGTCATTGCATGCCATTGATTTGTGGGTTTTGGTACCCCTATTAAAGTTTGAATTTTCTTGTTCACGTTTTAACCCTAATTGGAAGTTGGATGACTAGATTGGGGGGATTCTAATTCGAAATATTATTTCACTTTCAGGATCCATGGGCTAATTCTTGACTAAAATGCTGCGCTTTATGACCTGGTATATTATATAAACACAAATTTTTTTCTCTAATACTTAAAGTTGTAACAAACAATCTAGGTTGAACATATATTTAGTTTTTTCTTTTCTAAATCAATATTGATACTTGAAGGGATTTTACATTTCGAAAAATAATACAAATATTAATAAAGAATTACAGTAAGAACTTTAATAAATTAAATAGGTTTGTGCGAAAACTAGTGAAACAAGATTCATCATATGTATAAGGTGATATATAATATTTATAATCATGTCAAACTCTAAGATATCATAAACTTAAAGATGTATATCATATTCTCTATTTAAAATAACAAAAAATCTAAGGACGGGAAAATTAATAATATTAAGGTAAAGAAATAGAAAAAAAAAAGCAAATAAATATCTCATAAGTTTATTTTTCCTCTATTTTTATTTATAAGAAAAATAGTTTTCGTTAAAATTTAAAAGGTTTTATTTTCAAAACCAATTTGTGCTGGTTTTTGAGCAACTTATAATAGAGAATAAAAACATGAATAGGAAAAGTGAGGTAGAAAGATAATACTGGGAGTGGAGGAAGTTAGGGATAGAATCCCAAGATTTATTGAGGTTACTACTATATTTTGACAATATTTGATCCAAAAAATTTATCATGGATAACACTCTCATTCTTGTTTCATACAATTATTCATGAAAGGCGCAGAATTTAAAGTACCTATTTATATACTCTTTATAATTATAGGGGCATGAAATATGTTAGAAATATAAAACTATTATTTAGCTTAGTAGAAGGTTGATGTCTTTTCTCTAACAAAATATAAACAAAAAAAAAATAGAATATAAAACAAAAATAGTACCAGAATGAAATCGTTAAAATTCCCTATTGTTAAAATCTGCTGTTAATTAACCCTATGTAGTTCAATCAGTTCATACAAAAATTTTCTTTTACACGTAAAAAATAAATTCTAGAATTGGAACAAACTACAAAAAAATATATTAAAAAAAAAAAAAAAAAAAAAAAAAAGCTACAGAATTGAAATCGTTAAATTCCCTATTGTTAACCTGTTAATTAACCCTAGTTCAATCAGTTCATACAAAAATTTTCTTTACACGTAAAAATAAAACTAATTGACAACTAAAAATATATATTAAAAAAAAAAAAATTTAAGTCGTGCATTATGTGAGATAATCTGTTGTAACTTAGGCATGGTTGTCTGCGTGGCAATGGGCCCTAAAAATTTGAAAAAAGAATGTTATAATAAATTATATAGCTCACAATCAATTATAAATAATGTTTTAGTTTAATCGATGACAATTCTGATAAAAAAAACAAAATAGATATATTTTTTAATATATATATAAATATATTTAATTAGCTTGATATATAAAAGTACGTGTCATGATAGACAAGAAATTTCCTATATAATATATTTCATCCTTCTCTTTCTAGTTTGGCCACGTCTACTCTTCTGTTTTCACAAAATAAAACTAAAATTTATTACAGTTCTTGGGAATTAAAACCTAGACCTTTGCTAATTTTATGAATATCTTTTAATTATTTGCTTCCCTTAATGTAAATGATTGGCTTCACCTGGTTATCTATTTTTTTTTTTTTTGTTATATCTGAAATTGAAAAAAAAAAAAGGAAAAAAAGAATGTTACAGAATTTGAATCTCTATAACCACTGATTGGCTAGTAGTTGGATGGTATGATTCTCATTTATTTCTACGTACAATTTCTGGAAAACAATCAAACAGTATTGCAAATTCATACCTCTCTTTCAAGTGCCTCTCTCTTTTGCTGCTCACTGATCCTCTTTCTTCTCTGTACTTGCAAAAAATCCCATATTTTACGGTCAAAAGAGAGAACAGGAAAAAGAAGAAAGCTATAAAACAGAAAACGAACTGCTTACAATATCCAGAGGCACATTAAGATTGGCAGGTGAGTCGCCCTTATAACTAGCCATGAACAAATATAATAACACTTGTATATAGCTAAATCCTACTGTATCTCCAACCTCTTACGCCTTCAAGCAGGCATTAAAAGAACAAAAGAAACAATAATGAGCAACAATTAGCGTTGGTGATGGTCTTTTTTTAAAAGAAAAAAAAAAAAAACTCAAATTTGGCTTACAACGAAAGAAAAGAATTGGGTTGTTCTTGAAATTTGATTTGAGCAAGAAAAAAAATGTACATTAATGGCTATGCTTTTTAGGGATTTGAAACAGGAAGAGAGGAGATGAGAAGGAGCTTTCAAGGGTACTGAGGTTAGTTGAGGTAAGTCTTGAGTAACTATCTGAAAAATGTAGAAAGAGTAGCAACTCAGTTAGTGGGACTTTCTTGGTTTTGCTTTGGCGTAGCTTGCAATTGTGGGTTAGTTGTTATACCTTCTTTAACTAATAAATACTTTTTTTTTAAGGCTTTATGTGGCATTTGAAGAAGAAAGTTTAATAAATGATGTATCAGTTATATCGATCAACCTTCTTTAATTGCTTGTCTTTCAATCAAATTTATTATGAGATTGAATTTTCTACTCTATTGTACAATAATATATACTCCTTCCGTCTGAAATATATAATTTCAATTTTTCTTTTTTCATACAGTTTAGAATAGTTAGTTAAATTAGTTTAACCGCAATTATTTTTTTCCATATATATCCTGAGAGATTCTAAATATTGTTTATTATTGATTTATTGAGACTTTTATAAAATAGGATGAATAGTTAGTAATTATTTTTAAAGTATTTTAGAAATTCATAGTCACTGAACAGAAACTAACAAATAGATTTTATAGAGTAATGGAATTATATTTGAAGGTCTAATAGTATAATTTTCAAAATCAAATTATTACAAATGTATTTGAGAAAAATTCGATCGGGACAAGTATTGCAATAGGAGTGTTAACAACGTGGAAAATGTATACTAGGTACAACATAGAGTGATTGGTCAAATATAATTTCAATTATTTAGGGATAATTATATTGGTGTCTGAATTTCGTTAGTTTTTAATTTTAATTTTGGTGTCGTAATTGTATTATTTTTTATTAATTAAGTACCTAAATAGACAAATTTTTTCGATTAATATATTTGATCGAAATTTTTTACCAAAAAAAAAAAAAAAAAAAAAAAATTTCACTCAAACATAGTGATAGTTCTTGTCTTGTATTTATACATGAAATTAATAATTCTGGAGACTTCTCTACTCAAAAATCAGCGTTTTGATATAAATGGTTACCAATTATAATTTCTAATAAAGTATTTTTTAGAAAATTCAATAGTTCAACATGAACAGACAACATTGCATAGACTGAAGACAAATTTTGGAGAATTTTTTATGAGAGAGAGGGCTTTATATGAGCGAATATAGATATTTTATCAATTGAAAAGTGTGCATAGCTAATAGATAGATATAATTTTCAAAATCAAATTTTATTGTACGACAATTGATATTTGAGAAAAATTCGATCGGGACAAGCGTATTTGAACCAATAGGCACGTAGTTAACAACGTGAGAAAAAAATGAATATACTAGGTAAACAACAATAAGAGAGTAGCACTTTCTCCTGGTCCATTAATCATTCAATAATCTTCAATCCTCATTTAAGGTTCCGCACTTTACAATGAATCTTATTTACTTATATAGGTTGTATACGTGGACATTTTCGTAATTATAGGTTTTTAATTTTGAATTTGTGGGGGGGGTGTCGTCGCGTAGTATTGGTATTATTTTTTTGATTACTTAACCTTAAAAGTATTCCCTAAATATTAGACATAATTTTTTCGATTAATATATTTGGATCTCTCTAAATGTTTTTAGCCACAAAAAAAAAAAACTTGCACAAAAACAAAAAACTCAATAAAATTAGAAGTCACATTATAATAGGAATCCATTGCATATGTTCATTATTGGGTCCTTAAAAAAAAAAAAAAAAAAAAAAAAACTCAATAAATTAGATCACAAGTAAGGATCCATTCATTTCATTATTGTTTCTTAAAATTTTTTATTGTCTTAAAATTTCTAGTTCTTAGAATGAAATCTAAAAGGTTCCCTAAAATATTTTTTCTATTCCAAATCACAATCAACAAAATTAAAGGGATCCTGCAATCTATCTGTACAATCAACATTTAATAAACACAACCGAGGAAAATTACAAAATTCTGAAGAAATTTCCCATTGGGAATCAACTAATTTCTTCAGTAAATATAGATATGCTTCCAGCAAGCATGCGACCGCAAAAACTAGCATGCGCAATATAAGAACATTCAGAAAGGAGAGCAAGAAAAGAGTGTATCAACATCAGTAACAGTCGAAAGGAAAAGGAAAGTTTAACATTTAACAACATATAATTTTGATCTAGAAATAATGTGGATTAGAGCTGCATCAATGTGTTCCTGAATCTGCTGTTAAATCTGGCAGAAAATAGGAATGGGAAAGTTGCTGCTACTTCCAAAAGCCAATAATGAACTAAACTTTGTTGTTACAGTCATTGGTATTCATCTAGTGAGTCCAAATGCTTGTTCCGAAACATCCGCCATTTTTTCTTTTTCTTGGTCTCACATACTGGCCAATCTGGATTATTGACAGCATACCATGACTCAAAAATAGTTTTGTTGAGAAAATCACATTTAAGAAAATTCAAAGCAACAAACCATATCCAACTAGAAAATCATAATGCTAATCAAGAAAAAAAAAATCATAGATTTGGCCCCATGAAATCAAGTTTCATCAAATTCAAGTAGTTGAATTGTGGCTTAACCCTAAACCTTTGTGAGAATATAGAACAACAAAGACATTTTATAGTAGTAATGCTATGAGAAGTTGAACCGGTGCAAACTGTACCATCCTGAACCTCTCCATGAAAAAAAAAAAAGAGCGGTGAACATTTGATTGTAGAAGAAAATCTTACCTCCTTGTGGAAATATTGAGTTGTAGTGCACCTCCGCCCAGAAGCTCAAAAGAATTACTGCACAGAAGATAAATCAATAAAATTCATCATAATTTTCTAAAGGAAGCTGGCATAGGAACTAAGAGAGATGTCATTTTGATATTCTTTTGCATCTGACTTTCAAGGAAGCAACATTTTTTAGCTTTGCCAGTGACAAAGGGACAATATTAAACTTGCATGCCTTGTGACAACTAACAACCATAAGAAGTAGACAAGAGACCAACTTTTTCTGCAAATCTAGCTCAAGACGAGGGAAAAGACGACTCAAACTAGAGCAGCATGCCAATTAAAAGAATTTCTTTATTGACCTTTCAGTTTTGAGCTAAAACAGAACTTTACCATACATCAAATCTTCAAGAGACAAGCTGGCCTATATACTTGCAGACTTTTTTACAAGTCAAAGAAGTAGCTCAATTCTTTAGGAGGCAAATAAGAGCATAATCAATATGCAAGAACATCAATCAAAATTATGTGTTTTCTACTTTAGCATTTTATATTATGAATATATCCTAAAAAGTCCTATCACTGCAAAAAGCATAACCACAGTTGCTACTACCAGCTTTTTCCAAATTTGCGTACTTTTATCAGTTGACATACCATGAGAAGGGTTCTTACGTGCACACATGTTCTAGGAATTCAAAAGCACTGATGCTTGAAGGATGATAGAAAATAAAACATGATGTTATCAGAATGCCTGAAACTATAGTTGCTTCAGAATTATTTGTAACAGTACAGAAAGATTCACTCCAGAAATTCTTTCCAGATAAACCTTATTAAGATAGAATGTACCTCTTTTTGATTGTTGAACATTTGGAAGAATCTCAATATAGCAAGTATCCTTGAAAGATGTTATGACAATTATTTTGACCCCATACTGCAATAAATTGCTAGAAAAATTAGGAAGAGAAATGGCCATAATCAAGCATGCAAGTCTTTTATGGAGGTCTAAGCACTGGAGAACCTTCAGAGGTTCTAAAATTTGATTGCAACACACTTGTGAAAATATTTTTGTAATATTCTTCACCTATGATGACTGTATCTCTGACCACTAATTTCATAGTAAATTTTTTTTTGAAAAGGGAACAGAAATACAAACTATATATATTTGTTAAGAGGCAAAATACATGGTGGTGTTTATGTAGCCATTCTTAATTAATAAAGAGAGGTAATACAATATCGGATGTTAAACATCATCATTTAAAATTATACTATTATTCCATTGCAAAACATTCTTTGCAACACTAATTCAGAGTTTTAATCAGGTGCTCCCATCCAATGGATGATACCCACATCGCATTTTACCAACGCATGCTGCTCATACTTTAAGCAGAAATGTTCAGAAACATTGATTTAAACAACTTTAGCTACTTTTTTATGTGCATTATATTCTTCACTAGCAATTGACAGTAATGTGAAAAATGGGAAGGTCGCCGAATCAGAGCATGCCTCCAAAATTCAAGATTGCACGTGATGTCTGAGGCTCCAATGCCAATGACTTAAACTTTTGTCTATTAGTAATGTAAAAGGCCCAGTAGAAGAGTAAAGAAAAGTGGCAAACAATTTCAGCAACTGGAATTCTGACATTAGAGAAGTAATATGTTGCAAGCTATGGAACCTGTAAGAACAACTAAAGAATGACACCATATAACAATTTATAATCACAGGAAAGGGAAGAGTCTCATGCATGGACCTCTAAAAACATACCGAATCTGCAGCAGCCTGTAAAGTGACATGATCACCCCATTCACCACTCCTATTTTCATCCAAATTATGGTAAAAGCAAGGTCAAATTTCATCCAAAGAAAATGATCAAGTCAACAAAAAGGAGAAGAATAATACTTGGACATCTTCTCCAAATAGTCTCCATAGGCCATGGGAACATAACCCTCATACGTCTCAGGATAAGATTTAAGCTGATGATCCATAACAACATAAGAAGTCCACAACAGTTACATTGGTAAATTTAATCAAACAAGCAGTTGCTTTTGAGGTAATAAGAATCGCTAACCTGATTTACAACTTCTTGTCTCACAAATTCATGGTGTTCAGGAGTCAGATAAAATTGATCTGACAAAGCACGAAACTGTAAACATCATTAAAATATTAGCAAGACATTATGTCAAAAATACATGCTCTCATGGAACATTTTTTGGTCTCAATAGTTTCATAACAGCACTTAGCATGAATTGATAGCATTTACCTTCTAGACTAGCATCTCAAGGAAACAGAAATATATCATCAGTACATCCACACAAATAAACATCAAAGCATCAGTAAACTTTTCAAGTGACGAATTTATAATTTGATTTACAGCCACAGTAATTCAGGACCATATAAAGTGTAACAGAAAAAGAGACCATTTATTTAAAGCATAATCTGGATTCGTAATTTCACAAGTGAAAGCAACAAATAAGGCATAAACAAGTTTAAATGTCTCATGACATATGACATTATCTGTGAAATAAGCTGCATGCAAATGGTATCCAGTTACAAATTATTAGAAATATGTTGTTTTAGGATGGATAAAGATTTTTGCTCAAACTCTTTGAATGGAGTTCCATACATCCTTTAGTTGATTAGATTCATGAATCGAAATAAAATTAATGAATGCGAATGATAAGTTTTTTGGTTTGGATTTCAAATGAAATCCTTTTACACATATTTCACATCCACCATCATATTATTGTTTTTTTCCAATGTACATTATGAATTTACTTCTATTTCGTCATTCTAATCAATTCAAATAAATTCATATAAAAGTCTTCCATTCAAAATCAACAACCATGAATATTTTTCCCAATCTAACATTCTATAGATCTTTCCAGCCAATCAAGTAAAAGAAACAAAGATACCATACAATGTACTCCCTCCTTCCCCAAAAGATAGTCCACTTTCTATTTTCACATAAATTAAGAAAGTAGCAAGTATTATAGTTAAAGGACAATTTTATTCATATAGCTTTCCTATTAACCATCTTAAATAACACATGAGCAATTATTATATTAGAATAATAAGTAAGAATTAATGAGGATTATTGAAAAAAAGATAAAATTTAATAAGAGCATAATAGACAATTTAAGGATTAATTATAACGCAAAAAAGGAAAGTGCATTATATTTTGGACAAACCAAAAAAAGAAAGATGGATCTTTTTGGGACGGAGGGAGTACATGATATGATACCATGCCAGAAAAATAGCACAATAAAAGAGTAGCTATTCAGGTGACATAACCAGGTAGACTAGATCATTGTAAGATCATATACCATGTGCAAAAATAAATTAATAGAGATGCCAACTAAAAAGTATATCATGTCTAACAAAAATAGTTGCAAGTATCTGCTGCTAATAATTTCTCTTCCTAGTCTTGTGACAGTAAATTACTAAATAACACTTACTCCAAGCTAAAATATAAATCGCCGAGCAGCATCACAGAACTAGTAAAGATGCAATTTAACTGTTTCCAAGCCTGATAATTATTTGATAAATGTATGATTTTATATTCATATTTCCAATAGAATCTGGTTTGATGTTACGGGTTCGGCCACACACATATATGCAAGTCTAGCAGCAAAACACATTACAGATAGTAATATATTTATAGTACAGCCAGTTAGAATGGGATATCATTGGGTGATATAACAAAAGTATGATGACGCCAACCAAGGGTGCATAGTTACAGGGGACAAGACTATATCCAGATTAACCTAAATCCAAGTTTGCCTCTCGGGACCATGCAGTCTTGATTTACAATTATACAAGAACATCACACTTTGTTTCCAATACAATTACAGCACTGGATTTATACATCATACCAAAACAAATATTGAAAGGATGACTAGAGGAAGTTGATATATTGGTAGTGAACTGATCACTTGAGAAAGAAAATTGGGATAGGATGAAAAAAAAAAGGACAAATTGTTAGTTTTGAGGAAGAAGCCATCAAGCAAGTATTTGGTAAACCAGCAATATGCAGAACTGGAGAGAAACCTAACCATGGAAACGCCTTCTCTGCAAAAGTAGGGGGATGGTTGCACACATCACCTCTCCCCAAAGCCCACATATGTGGAGTGCTTTGAGCACTGGTTACCCTTTTTTATGGAGAAAAGCCTAATCTCATACAGTATTAGTGGCCCATTTTAAGAAACGATAATGAAAATAATTTTAAAAATCACAGCCATGTGGACAGAGAAAAAGTCAACAGATCTCAAACATCTTCACTAGGTATTTTTCTCAACTACTGACTAATGCTTCTTTAAGCAGACTCTTCAGCAAAAGCAGCATCAAGGTTGCATATCATAGACAACCTCTCCCGGACCCCCAACCCTGACAAAGCTGGGAGCATCATGTACTAGGTACACCCTTATTTAATGCTACAAGAATATGGAATCCATATATATGCTCTAAGGTGAAAGGCTAACCTGACAATTACCATCTCCTTGAACTTTACGCTCAACTAAATCATATACCTGCAATCTGACGAGGAAAAAGCATTTCAACAATCATGTAACTCCCATAGGTAAAGGGGAAGGTGTCCTCACTATATATCTTACCAATTAACCAAAAAACAATAACCAGGGCAATCGCAAGATAGAAGATCATGAAAATGGAAAAAAATAAGATTGACGAGGGAAAGTAAGCTCCAGACAAAATTCTGCATCCAAAAGTCAACAAAGACTACCTGTCCAATAGCCTTTGGTGATCTACCGTTGCTTCATCAACAGAGGGTATTTCTCCATTAATTCTAGGCACATGCTGCACAATGCCAAATATTGAGGTAACAAATTACATTCCACCATTTGGATGTCATAATTAAGAAGCCAATGCATGCATATATTGGACCAATTCACAAGAAGTGTGTGCAATTTCTAAATTCTTAGTGTGCAATTCATTTGTTAGTTTTTACTGTAATCATTCATTTACTGATTGAAACTAACTCTAAAGAAGCTCCAGACGAACAAAAATTGAATTTACTAAAGGCATCAAACCTTTGGAAAATACACCATTGGGTCAAGTATCAACATTTAACATAGTGATGGTCAAATCAAAAGCAGGGAGATGACCACAGGAAAAGGTCATAAAACCAACAAGCATAAAGCACCTTTAACAAAATTATAGAAGGCAAGAATTTTCAATCAACTTGAAGTACAGGTTGAAAAGAAAAGGAGTTCATATGACATGTGATCAGAAAACAAGGATCCAATAATTTCAACAAGTATAATGAAAGCATCACGCAATCTAGGACAGCTGGGTGGCTTTACTTTTTCTAGAATCTAAACTTAGCAAAATTATTGGAAGGCAGCATTGGGATAAAAGTCCATTGCAAAAATGAGAGAATCATTCATAAGACAGGGACCAATAATGGCTTTACTTTGATGCTGCACTTACAGGAATGGGGGCCATTTCATTCAACCATTTTCCCACTTCATCTTCAAAAGCATATTCCTCTGCTAACTCCAGTGAGTATGACCAATCTTCTGTGGGATAAGAATTTTCTTGAGGACTAGAGCATGAACTAGAAGGCTCCACATCATCTGCCCCTTCCTGACCACCCTCTTGCCCTATATGTTACAGATAATATAAGCATAATGGAGTGAAGCAAAAGCAATAGAACCTCGCCACTCCCCAAACTAAATAAATAATCAGATTTGTGCCTTAATTCTAGAATTTACCAGAACCATAATTCTCTACAGATTGACTATGCCAGTCCGGTTGGAAAGAAGAAACTTGCAAATGTTCATCTCCTTCATGTGGAGACTCAGGTACTTCTGCAACCGAAAGTTGTGATAATTCTTCTTGAAGAGCTTGTGCGATAAGCTCATCATGGTCTACATTGCAACATGCTGGATCATAATAGCCATCCTTGAAATGCTGCTCAGCATAATAATCAATATCGTCTTGTATAGCAGCATCACAATACACATAATTTGAATAAGGGTTGCTTTCAAACAACTGGAGACCCCACCGAACAACATCCGGATCTTGTTCGTGTGTAATCATTTGGATTTTATATATTTTCTTAACACAGATTGAAATCACAGAAATAAATAATGATCAACCCTTAGCCATTATTTATATGAAATTGCAAGAAATGGTTTTCACAGCTTCCACCTGAAACAAAGATCACAAAAAAATTTTTTGCCTTAAAGGGATTGAGAAACTTGCTTCAATATGCATGAACAATGCAAACAAAACCAAAATTTATAAGTAATTTTTTTCAAATTGCATTAAACCCAGATATCAAATCCCAAATAAAAGAAAAAGATCAAATTCAAAACTAACTCCTCTAGATCACATAGAGCCAACGAACTTAAGATATATAATCATCGTAGATCTTACCCATAACCACACAAAAACACTTGCCACTCCGCAACTAGAAAATTTACGTTAATGAAGGGAAAGATAAGTCAACATCTGCAACGATCAAACTAATACTTCACCAGTTCAAAACCTAGAAAAAGAATACTTAAAAATGAAAGTCAGCGAACTAAGTTTAATCGATAAAACTAATAAAAATAGAGAATCAAATGATATACGCATTTAGGCATTTTGATGATTAAACTGACCACACAAGTTCAGTGTACTAGAACATTTTCGAACTCAGGTACTAAATTGCTCTACTTTTTCTTGCGTTTTCTAGTAACCAAACAGACTGTACACTTCAATAAGTAAAATCATCAAAAATTAAAAATAAATAATAAACACCTGGTAACTAATAAAAAAATACTTCAGATCATCGGATTTTACTCGTATGCATATATCAACCAAAAATTTAAAAATAATGAAGAAAGAAGAAAAAATCGCAAAATTGCAGAACTGAATATTTCACTTTCAGCTTCGAATACTTTTTTATTATTTTTTTTTTTTTTGGAAGAAAATTGATATTGTAAAAAATAAATATGTATTTAAGAGCTGATTAAATTAGTGAAAGGTTTATAGATAGAAAGCGTCGTCAAGACGCCACAGAAAGAGAAGACGACGTGAACAGTACTCATTTGTTCACTGACTTACAATGGAGGTAGTGCGTGGTGACTGTGACGGACGTCACGATGCTAATGGTACTGTGAAGGTGGTGGTGGTGGTGGTGGTGGTGATTATGTTTGGGGCGTTTGTTTCAGAGACTGAGCTGACAGTGAGAGAGACTGAGACTGAGAGCTGGAAGAGGAAACAAGAGACGTCAATTGACGGCGAAGGGTCTGAGATTTGGCTCGTTATCTCTCTCAGTTTCACTTTCTTACGGTCACTCCGCTACGGTGAGTTCCATTTTTCCCTTTTTTTTTTTTACCAATCTTTTTTTTACTATAAATATAGCATTTATTTTTATTTATTTAACCCAAATAGACAGAAATAATATTATGAATTATATCAAATATATTGTGTTAGAAACTAACATTAATTCCATGATTAAACCTCGAGCCAGATTAAGCGGTCCTGGTAATGAGGTCCTGATACCGATAGTTTGCACAATAAAAAACTAACATTAACTAGTTATTTAAATAAAGAAAAAAAATATAATAAATGAAAGAAAAAAAATTAAATATTATTAAAAATCTGTGAAATTTTCAAGTTTTTGTTACCAAACCATTAGTTAAATTTGTATTTAATTTATTTAGAGATCGTTTGTTCTGTCTTATTAATAATTTATTAGACTTTAAGCTTATTTGGTCAGACAATGATAAAATAAATTTGTTTTTATATGCTACAAACTGAATTTTTTTGAATGAAAAAAAAAATTTAGAGTTGATATATTAAGTTGTAAAATTTATTAGATAAAAAGAATTGCACTTTACAATTATTAAGCCTTCGACTTTTAATATTAATTTTGAATCATTTAATTTAATAAAATATTAATTTATATTAAAACATTCAAAATTTCGTCTGCACAACGAGCTCGTAAATTCTAATTTATTAATGTGATATGATTAAGCATATTCTTAAGGATTAGAGCAAATTAGAATTAAGTAAACAAATTCAACTTAACACAAATACATACAAATCGTTAAACAAAATTTTTGAACAACAATACTTGGTAATTTTGGATTTGGGTTTAGCTCATAATATCATGATGTGTCATTACAGCAAATCAATAAGGTTGATGGCAGAATATAATAAGAGTTTCGATTATAAATTGTATGACAGAAATAAATAAAAAAAAAAAGTTATTTTGATGATTTGTCCATTAAGAAAGACATTTTTCAGAAATTTTGTGATTCATTGTGCATTTATGGATAAAAATAAATAATTAATACAATTTATTATTTTATTTATATAAAGCTTATTTAGTTTTAATTTTAATACTAGAGAAATTTTCCCGCGCAATGCTGCAGGTAAATATATATACATGAAGACAAAATATATGTCACTCACTTGAAATTTTAGGGTGTATAGGATTTTTTAAGAAGTCAAGGGACATATTTATATATTTAGCGAAAAACAAAAAAACCCGACTAAACTGCCATTATAAACTATATACCATAAGAAAAGAAAAAGAACAACTTTAATATTATCCATCCATCTATCTATAATCTATAATCTATCTATTTATCTATCTTTATATAAAAGTGAAAATAACGGGGAATAATAAAAATTACCGATATTGTCTTTGTAAAATTTAAGATATTATAAAATAATCTTAGTCTTAGCCAATTAAAAAATTTTAACCTAAAAATATATATAATGTTTCTATAATTTGATTGGATGTTTTTTTACCTTTAATTAATAAATAAATATATACAAATAATTAAGCATTTTAAATATTTAAATTTTTACTGTTATTATCTTATTATGTTTAATTATATTCTATTTCATTATATTATTATGTAGATTATTAATAATAATTTAATAATTTATTATAAATATTTTAATTTTTACTGTTATTATCTTTATTATGTTTAATTTATATTCTATTTCATTATATTATTAATGTAGAATTATTAATATATTTAATAATTTATTATTAAATTATTATTATAGTTTATAATTTAGCTTCAATGTTATTATTTTAAATAATATATGTAATTATGAGGCATTTGAAAATTTTTATATATATTTTTTAATTTATTTGAAAAGAATATATCTAGATGATTCAAATTTTTATTTTAAAAGGATATAATTAAATTTCTTTAGTTACAAATTGCACTCTAATTTGATTGGCCAAAAAGTAAGATAAAAAATTATTATTTTTAAACATCTCAAATTTTATTACTTATACTGGTATCTATATAATTCAAATCCTATTTCTTTTTAAAGAATATAATTTTATTAATAATTTTTTAAATGATTTCATGATTTTAATCAGCTAAAAAAATAAAAATTTATTATTATTAATATATATTTAATTTGATTTATTAGATTGATTCTGATTTTAATTTGATTTATTAGATTGATTCTTTACTCTATTGTTAAAGTATATTTATTTACTATAAAAGATTATAATGAAAAGTTATTAATAAAACATGTAAAGTTATTATAAACTTATAATAGAAGTTATATAATGATTTTTACAAATCAATTTGATTTTTCTTTAAAAAAGAAAATAAAAGCAATTAGCGTATAATAAAAACTATATGAATCAGCACGTTGACATATGACAAAAAAATATATTTATTGTATCTATATAGTGTAATGTATTTTAACGATTCAATCTAAATAAAAATTTATACTTAATATTATATAAATAAAAAATTAAACGAGTATAAAGAATGAGTAAATAACGAGTATAGTCAACATGCAAGGCACGTCATAAAAAATACTAATATATATAAAAGTACAAATGAGGGAGAACTACGTCATAAAAAAGACTAATATATATAAAAGTACAATTGAGGGAGAACTTTGAATTCCTAAAATGTCTCTGCTAAGTTTATGAATCAACAAAAATATCATTATTAATCTTATTCTAATTATGATTTCAATTTATTATTTTTATTATCTTATTCTAATTATGATTTCAATTTATTATTTTTATTATATTAATATTATAAATTTAATCTCATTCTAATTAGGAATTTGTCTCATCATACCACTATATATATATATATATTTAATTTTAATTGTTTTTGACTATAAAGAATTTTTACATCAAGCCTTTACTAATTTGAAATTATTGAGTTTGCAATCATGTATTCTTCTTGCTGTCAAGTATAACCTTTAACTCTCTATCTATTTACCAATTAATATAATAGTTTTTATAATATGGATTTATATGCTAACTGTAATTATTTAATAATTGTGAATAATTACAAGCTTACAAGCGTTTTCTCCTAAATAGTATTATTATGAAATAATTTAAAGAGATAGACCCTCTAATTAGAAAAAGTTTAATTTTATTTATCAATTAAAATTATATAATTATTTGTAAATAGATTGATTATATTAGTTTCCTTAATCATATTATTTTTATTAATTAACAAATCTTGTTTCATTATTTCCGTTGCTAAGAGCTGATGAAGGTTCCACAAGCGTGTTATCAACGGAATTTTTTTCCGTTTCTGTAGTTATAGCCTAAATTAATTTTTGGGAAAATTATTATTTAATCCCTCAGGTTTTACATAATTATCTAACTAATCTCGAGGTTTGCGTTAATATATAACTAGTCCCTCAGGTTTAACTCCGTCGTCTAATTAAAAAGTTCTTCCGTCCGAAAAGTTGGTTTTTTTTCATTAAAATCAGTTCAAAACAAAGGCAGACATTTTATAATGACGAAGAATGCCCTTACTGAACTGTGCATGAAAATAAAGGAGGTTTGACCAAATTTCATTCCACAAAACGCAGAGAAAGGAAAAAAGGGAAAAAACAAAAGCTCCTCTCCATTTCATTTGCAGGTAACAAGCGACAGCCTACATGTCTTCTTCAAGCGCACAGCCGATGGAGCATGGGAAGGAAGGTATGTGAATATGCATTGCAAGTGTGGGAAAAAAGCAGGCATTAGGATCTCAGAGACACAAAAAAACAAAAATCGATTGTATTATTACTGTATTGAAAATGCATGCGGGTCTTTTCTTGATTGGTGTAAAGCTATAGATTCATCAGATCGATCTCAAGGAAGCGAATTCGAAGTGAGGCAAAGAAGTGTCGCTACTGACTTGTTTGAATTTATGGAAGAGATGTTGTACATGAAGAGGGAGATGATGAAAATGTACAGTGAGATTGTGACCATTGGAGGAAAAAGGGTTGTGACCATTGGAGGAAAAAGAGAGTGCTTGGAGTCGGAGATTGGCAGCTTGAAGAAGTTGATTTTCATATGCTTGATGGCTATCATAATGTTTTCACTTTACTTGTAATGTTGCTGTTCAAGGGTAACAGAGGATTGTGAATAATAATTTTTTTTTTTGTTAATGTATTTAGGGTAGTTTGGTTAGTTTTTTTGTAGTTTATGTTGTTTTTGTAGTTGGCTGTGTTAATGTGGTGGGTTAGTTGTTGAATGTTAGTAGCTCAGCTGGGCACAGTCAATTTGAAGATTGAAGATGACTTGAACGTAATATACTTTCTGCAATAAAATGTATACTTTTTGTTTAAGTATAGCAACTGCAAAGCAAAAATATTTATTCAAACTTGGCTCCCATGCAGAAGAGTGGTTACAAATAGTGCCATTATCATTAGTCAAATGTTTCCAATTCACAAAAGAGAAAAACAACATATTTACATAATGTGCATCACAAAAACCCTACTCAAATCAAACTTGGTCCATACTTGCGTGTTTGCTGTCAAGAAAAAGACAGACACAATGGAAAAAAAAAAGTTACACATTTGTTCCTGTGCTTGCTAGAAAATCAAAAGATTCCTTGTTTGTGGCTTGCTAGAAAATCAAAAAGATTCCTTGTTCTCCCTAACTGTGGCAAATCTGTTGTCAGCAAGCAGCACCTGTTAAACACAAAATGGCACATAGCAGGATTCCATATTTTTTTCTGCAAGATGGTGAAGCGCCAAAATAACCATCTGCAACACCTCAACAACACAAAAGAACATCCGCATCAATATTAGTTCTATACACAAAAAACCATCTTCACTCAACACATTGAACCAAAAAACCAAATCTGGCAACATATTTCAACACCAAGACAAAATATATATAATTCAAGACATAGGATTGTCTCTCCTCTCAAACCAGAAGCCAAACCAGAAGCTCCTCTCCCTCTCAAACCAGAAGCACCTCTCCCTCTCAAAGTAGAAGCACCTCTGTCTCTTGTTGCAGTA